ACCACACAGTTCGCACGTTTTGACCCCTTTTATTTAGCTGTTCGTGCCTTTAATACACGGTCGCAGCTTTTCAGCTGCCAGCCACACGCACAACCCCAACTCAGGTCCCGGTACATTTCTTTATAGGGGAGACGTAATTGGCTGACGGAGCTCCGGTGTGTCTCAGCCTCCCTTGCAGCTGAGCCCCAAGCCACACCCTGCCACAGATAGATTTCCAACAAATGAAATGAAATCTATGCATTTTTTAAACACAATGGAGAACAATTCAATTAAATGTCTTCCACATTCTCAAATATTGTATTCCTTAAAAAAAGGTCACCATTTAAAAAGACTTCCGTTCTTCTCAACAGAGCGGACTGTAATTTCCACAGCACAAAACCACTTTGAGTAAAGGTAACTGTTACTGGTCAAGCTAAATCAAACTATTGGTTTAAAAAAACTGAAGGATTACACTTAGTGCCTGAGGCACTTGTGTTCCTGCCACAGTACTCGTCACTCACTGTGATCAGCCGTCAGCCTGAAATGTTGTCTCGCCTGAGGCTGAGGTAACAGCACTTTGTGAAGCACTCACAGGTGCTGACAAAGCAAAGCAGTCAACACAGCCACTCTACCATAAAACAACAACAACACAGTGACCATTATTTTTTAATAGTTCTGCTTTCCTGTGTATTCTTTTTCCTCTTTTTTTTCTTACTGCTTCAGTCAGTGGATGATACTGAGACGAATAAGCACCGGCCAGCTGGTTCACCTTGATAACCACAATCAGCCACGTGCAAAGAAAATTGTCTCGATCCAGATGTTTTAGGTTCGTGGGAGAAGCACCATTTAAAGCTCAGTTTAAGTGGAAACATGAAGGAAAGAATGCAAATCTCTTCTCACATGCAGAAACATCCAGGTTTTAGACCAATAAATGTGTATAAATGGTTTATTTTTAGGTGAAACGGGGACACGGTGTCAAGAAAGCACACAATGAATTTGAAATCCCCTGTTAGATTTTTACTGCAATATCTCCCACTCTGATGACGCTGACATGCTGTGGCATGCCACGCTGTGGGAGCAGCCGGAGACGGAGCCCAGAGTGAATTTTAGTCTGCAGCACGAGCCAACTCCACCAACGCCTGCAGCAGCGAATCTCCCTTCCCTACAAACGGCCTCTCCCACCCCCCTTATCACCAGGCGGGCTAAACTGCTGAACCCAGTACGCCCCTGTGTGCTCTGTGGCACAGCAGGCAAAGGCTGCATCCTCTCTGTGGCTTCTAATGAGCTGTACTGTACTGAAATACACCACAGTGCACTAGCTGGTCTGAAGTTGGAGTATGCCAGTCAAACCACCACCTGCGAGGTGGAGCTTTGTTACCAAGGAGATTGTCTTTTAAAAGGTCAAACTATACGCACTTACATGCATGTCCAGAACAAGAAGCCATATCTTTAATAGTCCATTCCTTTTTAACAATATGTTTATTTTCATGTTGAAATGTCAGAAATTAAAAGATTAAAAGTATTAAATGCTAAACTGTTTTCTGCTCAAACCAACCCTGTTTACATTAGCTTGAACTTATATTAACTGTAAATAAATTTTAAGTAAATTAGTGTTGTGTTTTATACACACAAAGCATTGCTTTGACTTTTAATGAACTATGACTTTAAAAAACTTTTAATATACCATCCAAAACTGACAGACATGAAAATGCATTTTCTTTATTGGCAGTAAATATTCATCCACTTTATTATCAGGTACACTTGTTCAACTTGTTAACATAACTATATAGTCAGACAATCACCTGGCAGCAGGTCACGAGTGTCAGTTTGGGGAAGAAATATGACTTAAGTAACTCTGAATGTGGCATGGTTGTTTGTACCAGGCAGGCTGGTTTGAGAAACTGCTGATCGACTGAGATTTTCCTGCACAACCATCTGTGGGGTTAACATAGGATGGCGTACAGGAAAAGTGAAACTATCCAGTACATATCCAAAATGGATAAAGATCATAGATTCAGACCAGATCAGGCCCAGATCCATTTCAGATGAGGTAATTTCCCAGCTCTTCCCATTCAGGTGAATCAAGGCGGGCTTATTTTGTCTGTATTCCTGATTTTAACCCGTAAGAGCCCAGACCAATTTTTACTGTCAGGAAAGCTATGGGAGAGTCAGTGTTGAAACTTTAACAAGAACACCTGTGTGACCTTGGTTTCTCATGGGTTGAAATAGGTCATCTCGCCAAAGCTATAATGAAATATGTCAAATCTAGCTGATGTACAGTAGACAGCGCTATAAAAGCTTACACGTGTCTTACAAAACTTGGAAAGCTGCATTTTTTTTAGTTAAATGTGAAACAGTTACTACTGACTGTATGACAGCTATCAGCTATCAGTAAAGGCTGATCTTAGATCAGATTAAAAAAAGGTTAAACTGGGAAACAAAGCATAGTTTTTCTGTAAATCTCATTAAGCATTTTTATCCAGTAATGGAAGAAATGATTAAATCCTCTAACATTAAAAATCAGACTGTTACAGCACATCAGTACATTAAATGCTGATTGAATTTCATTTAAAAAAAAATGAAGTGGCCATAAACTGTTACATGTCTGATGTGTCAGTCAATGTTTTTATCTTCAGCTTCTGTCACCTACATTTTTCCTCTGTTAACTTGCTGAATAATTAGATGGAATCACAAACTGTGATGTCAAATTAAGATTGCAGCTTTAGCTAATGAAAACTCACGTTAGCTAAGATAAATGGTGACCATGGAGAGCACGAAAAATGTAAATATTTGTATGCAACTTTTTTTTTCTGTGTCTGATGATGACAGAGTGAACTAAACTTTCCCCTTTTTTATTTTTATTTTCTTAAATCAATATTCTGGGCCTTACTGGCACATGTTCATATTCAGCACTGGTACAATTTACCCATAATTATAACTTGTGTTATTACAGCTCCACAGACGAGGAGCTTTTTTCTCTACGCATGCATGTAGTTAACTCAAGATGATCATACTCAGAGTCTATTGGACTCACTCTGATCTTATGGCTAGACTCAGAATTTGATGAACCTGCTTCCTGGAAAAAGGCCCTGATTGAATACTGTTACAGCATAACTGAGGGAACAACTCAGTAATTTGGTGCCACTGCTTTTTCAGATTCTACATAGCTTTGGGGTTATTAATATGTAACAACTGTAATGTTTGTGAGAATACTTTAATACAACATTTTTAGAGCTTCTCTACAGCACCATTACTGTACAAAAATACTTTAACTTGGATAAGCTAAGTACACTCATACTGCATAAAACTTGATGCCTCACTTTGTCAAAATGTTAAGCAAAGTTTGTCACACTGTCAGAGGCAGCAGCCACAGCTAAATCACAAAGATGTCAACACGCTAATGTGACGAATAGATCCACTAAGGCTTCGATCGTTCGATTGCTTTGATTCAGGCCATGTTTTTCATGTCGCTGAGAACACTTTAAATTAATTAATTAAAAGAAACACACATGAGAACAGTGAGGAGATCTTTGCAGCGAGGAGGCAGGAGTACATCAGTGCATGTGTGCGCACATGTTTACAGGTGCCTGTATATCAATGAAGGGGGAAGGGTGCATGATCCTTGTAAAAAGGGAAAACACACCAGAATGGCAGCACCAGAACTGACTCCCAAGGTGGGGAGCTGACACTGTACATCAGTCAGGGCACGGAGGATAACACCGGTACCCACTCCTCCAGTGACTCCTGACAGCATCAGAACCTTGTCAAACACAACCTGACAGCTTTGCAGGGAAACTGCAGAGAGACTTGACATGTTCCTTTTTTCACATTCAGCTTGGGATGAAAAACAAAAGAAAGGAAAAAGGTTTTTAGCAAGTACTAATCTTCTGAGACTTCTCAGCGTGAGAGAAAGGACAGAGGAGAGTTTGGTACGCAGAGTCAAAGGGAGCAGAAGGATGAGGTGGATGACAATTGAGACTAATTTGCTAATTGGAACTTGACACAAAGTGCATGCCAGACTAACAGAAATCACATTAACTTGGAGATAATAAGACAGATAATTTTTGGCTGACGATGGCACATACCGATAAGTCAACAGATCACCAACGATATCAGGCATTTCCTGAGGGTAATGTAAATTTGAGTATCCATTTTCACAGCCATCCACTGAGAAAAAAGAACAAGTGTCAACATCATAAGGGCCCCAGGGGGAAAAACCTCTAAAGCTGCAGTTTGAAGCAAAAGTGGTGGACCAGTCAGCCAACTGGTATTGGAATGCACTGTGCCAGCAAGGATAAAAAGAATAATGGGCATAATTACACAGAGAATGTAACGGAGGTAGCAATCAGCAACCAGAGAATATCAGAGAAAATTCAATGCAAGGCGAAGACGATGACTGAGCAAAACAGAAGAAGAGAGAGAAGGATGATAAACAAAACAGGTGTTCAAAGAAAAAGCTGCAAGAACGAGGAGGAAAAGCTAAGAAACTAGGATAAGGAAGAGAAAGTCAGTACCGTAAATGAAGGGCAAGAAAAGGTAGAGAATGATAAAGAAAAGTTAAAGATAAGGTGAAGGAAGTTTAGAGAAACATCAAGTAATAAAAGGAAAAGAATAAAGTGTAGGAGTGTACATATGCAGAAGGAGATGGAGAGAAAGGAAGAAAAAAGCTGTTGAAGGACAAGGATGAAGAAAGCTAATTACACGTCCGATCACAAGCCAAGTGGCGTTAGATTGCATTGGAGCATCCAGCCATGTATTAATTTCTTTTGCTCTCAGACATTTTGTCACATGTCATGCCCTGCACTGCTCTGCTGTTATTCTTCATAGTGTGTTGCTGTCTAATAAACCAGAAACACAACACAATCTTTTCAAGTGGTTCAGAGCACCAAGCTGATCATCATCTGCACTAGGGAGCGTCGGGTTTTCAAATCTGTCAAGACTTTGGGCCCTCCGTCGTCCTCCACACAAAACTTATCTTCAACAAAAGGAGAGAAACATTTGTGCAGTGTGAAAACACCCACCTTTAGTAGTTTCATCTTCGATGGGCTGCTTGAAGAGGGTAATGTCCTTAAAAGTGCAGAGGAACAGCACCACCTTGTCATTCTCATTCCTGATGGGAGCCACTTGCATGTAGAACCAAACAGGACTTCCTGCAACAAAACATCATCAAATCTTAGAGTACATATGTCCAAAGGGAGTCACTATAAAACAAAATAACAAATAGACCCAAGACAGTGTCACCATTGAGGATTTAACATCCATGATGCTCGAAATAACCTTACCAAATGTAATCTGAACAATCTCTTGTGGAATCCTTACTAGGTTTGAAACATTATACTTTTATGTTGCTTTACTAAAAGAATTTTTCAAACTACTTATCAATGCTTCCATTAGGGGTTTGTGTTAGGGTGTCCACAAACCTTTGACCACTTCTTTCAAAATGTGAAAAATATATGTTGGAACAATTTGTGGAACAATTTGTGGAAAAAAAAATGTTTTATTACTGCACTAGCTTTTATGACATCTCTGCTGTCTTTGCAGAAAACAGATTAAAGTGATTTCACATCTAAATTGCTGCTCTGGGCTTGCTCAAACAATCAACAGAGGGCAGATATAAATATAATCTAGCCATTAATTATGCTCCATTATCAGGACCAAGCAACCACATTAAGACTCTCAGAAGACAATCTTTGTGCCACTGAGTCAAATGTGGTTGGTTTCATAAGTCTGTATCAGATATTAAAATATATGTAAAAAAAAAAATATATATATATATATATATATATATATATATATATATATATATATATATATATATATATATATATATATATACGTTTAAATCTATATGCCAATAATGGATTTTAGAGATATTTATCTTAATAAAGAAAACAACTGAATTACACACCAGTGTGTGATAACCATTATTTTTATATCTGGTTAAAGGGTATTTTTTTCAAAAAGTGCTTGCTCATAGGGGGTCGTCTGATTGTATATAAGCACCTTGAGATGAATGTTGTTGTAATTTGGTGCTATATAAATAAAATTTAATTTAATTTATTTTAAAAACACAAGTCAAATAAAAAGAAATATCATATTCTGCTTTCTTACTTTGAAATTTAAGCAATTTTGTGGCAATGAACATGCTAACTCATTAGTACAAAAGGCTGAGTTGAGTCCTGAACCAGCACTCACGTGGCACTTGGGTACTTTGTGAGAGTGGTAAACATGGCAATTGAACTAAGTGGATGTGTCAGAGGTCAAACTGATATTCTTTCCGCTTTTAAGGGGGCAGTGGATGGCACCCTAAGGAAGCCAGTAGATAAAGAAGCAAAACAATGAATCTACGTGTACTAAGGAAAAGAAGAGAAAATACTTCACACATAAAGAATTCGCCTCATTCACGTATTACACAAACGCCTCTATGAGGGCCCTGCTCTCATAATTTGTCATCAAATTTGTGCCATGGTAAAAGTTTTTATTTCCTTCTCCATTCTGCACTCAAAGATGGACCATTTTGTAGTTCCAGCTTGTCAGTTGTCCTAACACGCTGATCTAGTACCTCTCAGGTTAACATTATAAGCACTGACAGGTAAAGTGAATGGCTCATGGCTCCTGTTAGTGGGTGGGATATCCGGTCTTTAAGTGTTGACATATGAACCCTGCTTCCGGGTCCAAACTACTCTGCGTTTATTAAGGTTGTTGTGTTTTTAACGTATTTTAATGCTTTGTATCTTGTTCTACTTAATCTGAAGAAGCCTCTAAAAAAAAGGCTGTAATCACTGTCCGCCTCTCTCAGTTTTTATTACCACTGTTCATTCTAAAGCTCAGTTTTTAAAACCTTGTTATGTGATTACAGCCCAGCACAGGCAGCAGTATATTAATGACTAACCTGGTATTGTGGATGGATTATCTCAGTTGTTCAGTTGTTTGGTCCATTTTCAGGATTCTGTCATACAATTGTGTTTGTCCCTAACCATCGGGAACCCTCACGTTAACTTTTATCAAGTGGAAAAAAGTTTTCACTGTGGTAATGTGTTTATAGTATGCTAACCCTAGCTGTGTAGCTAGCCACCATGTAGCACACCGTTACATACCAGCTAGCCCAACTTCAGTAGCCCTACAAACGTCACTACTGTTTAGTTTTCTGTCTTCATTTATGTCAGAAGTGATAACAGAGCTGTACGTTTTAATTTTTTCAGAAATCCCTCAGTCAGAACATGGTATGTTTAGATGGAAACTAGCGAGCTAACTCCCTGCTATCTTCTTACTCTGTTTAACTTCATAAAACCTGTTTTCATGGATGCCTGAATGTTAAACTTAATTGTTACACCTGGTAGAGCAGCCATACTGATCATTTTATTACAGATGACAGAATTTATACAGTTTTTAAACTCTCAGTGATGCTGCAGTGTTCGTTTGACTTTGGACCCGGACACAGCTCAGACTTAAAGACCTTATACAGATAAAGAGTCCATTTAGTCCTTAAAGTTAATGTGTTAGAAGAAGGAAAAAGAGGCAAGTGTAAGGATTTAAGCAACTTTCACAAGGACCTGTGACGGGCTCTGGGTTTTTCCTGCAGTGGATAGTATCTATCAAAAGAGGCCCACAGAAGAAACAGTGGTGAACCAGCAACAGGGTCATGGGCAGCCAAGTCTCATTCATATGTGTCGAGCGAAATCTGTTCCATGTGATCCAACAGATGAGCTATTTTAGCTCAAATTGCCAGTAAAGTTAAAGCTGGTTCTGATAGAAACATGTCAGAATCACATCACAATTTGTTCTGTATGGGGCTGCATAGCCGCAGACCAGTCAGGGTGACCACGCTGACTAATATCCATGCCGAGAGCACCAACAGTGGCCATGTGAGCATCAGCATTGGAGAACGGAGGAATGGAAAAAGGTGATGATGAATCTTTTACATCGTGTGGAAAACCGGATACATCTGCGTCACTTACATGGGAAATACCTGGCACCAGGATGCACTATGGAAAGAAGTCAAGCTGGATGAGGCAAGGCAGGTGGTCAAAATGTTATGCCCAGTTGGTATACTTTACTATTGTTCAAATACACAGTCAACAACACTGTGTTTACATTTTTAAATTCATTTTATCAAATTGTATCTGCCCTCCATTTATTGCCTTTATCTAACATGAGCAGTGATTTAAATCTCACATCCTTAAAGACATATAAATAAAAAAAAGTCTGTCAAGGACATGTAAAATAAAATAAAAATGAAAAGAACATGTTCATTAGAAATAATCGATTGATAGAATGTTAAAATCAGAATACAAAAACATAACTGAACTTAACATAACTCAACTGAATACACACTGATAGAAATGATGACAACAATGCAGACAGAAGGCTATCAGTAATGTATATGTGTTAAAAAATTACATAAAAGACATGATGAGACACATCAAGAAATAACTGAAGTGAACACTCACTGTTCTTTCTGTACAGCAGGATTTCAAAGCAGTTAGATTCATAATTGTCGAACGTCTGTCTGACTTTATCGATGGTCTTCTTGTCTGTCAGCTCTCCGTACATAAAACTGTGAAGGGAAATAAGCAATATGAGAAACTGCAACAATCAATCATCAGTCTTTCATGCCTCTGTATGATATTTCATATATGTTATTAATGGTACTGTCAATGTGTTATCTCACCATCAAAACTCCATTAATTCTTATGTTTGGTTCAATAGAATAAAGTGATGCAACGGCTAAAGGATAAATTGGGCTCACAGGGGTGTGAGTGCAGATTTGTTCTGGGCTGTAATCATTCCATAAAGGGAACATTTATACATTTCTCCTACTTTGTTTTCCAAGATCAAATTCCAGTTCAAGTTTGCACATCCACACACATTTGTACTTTTTAGAGTGGGCACAGATTCAGTCACTATTTTATCCATTATGCTGCCACAGTGCAGGTGACCATCGACCATTTGAAAATGAAATACCAGTTTAGACTTTCACTTGATCTTTCCTTGATACACAAACAAACTCAGTGACCAGATCCTGATCAGTTCATCCTTGAGTTCAGTAAATGCTTTTATGTTTTCTTCCAGCTTTGCCAAAGAACTTAAAATGAGGATTTTATTAAATTTCAACATCTTTTGGTTAGAAATGCAGAGTATAGCCATCCATTTTTTTAAATCCAAATCAGGGATGCAGGAGCCAACAGCAGCTATCATACAACAAGAGACAGGGTACACCCCGGACAGGTCTACCAAAGAAAGGCTAAAGCCCCACATGGAAAGACTACAGACTGGATTCAAACCTAGGACCATTACTGTAAGGCACCAGTGCTACCCACCACAGCACCATGATGTGAACACAGAAATTGGACGTTTTCAGAAAACTGGGATTTGACATCTAACCCCACCCTCTAACCTCTAATGGAATGGGCCAAAGTTGAATGTCGCCTTCTAGCAATGTCACCAGTGATGTCAGACATATTAGTAAGCAGAGTGGAAAATTCAACCTGGCCTTACTGCGAGCTGAAGACAGGCATAAGGAAAATTGTTCAGTGAAATGATGTGAAAAATCAAGCACAGCATTAGTTTAGGATTAGCTGTTGTCAGTGCCAGCCCACATCCTCCGCTGGCCTTTCTATCCATCCAATAAGTGAATCTGTGAATCAGTGTGGGCAGACTAAAGCTGCTTAATCTGCCCACAGTTCTTAAGTTAATTAATGTCATATCTTTCTTGTTCTGTATGGGGGTCTCCTGCTTTCACGGGCTTTGGCTTTCCACATTTGCATGTTGAATTACTGGGAAATCCAGCAATACACGTGTAGTGGTGTGGTGATCGGCCTATGGGACCAGTCTAAGACACGAGTCCTTTGTAGGTTGGCTGATAAAAATCCAAAAGCAAAACACTGCAATTTGTATAGCATAATGTTTCATCTTCAATTCGCAGCTGAAGAGGTCTACCTTCACTTTTTATGAAATTGTTTTGTTTTTTCCTTGACTTACTGCTATTAGGATTTTATGTGAAATGTCAGCACATCTGCACCACTGTTACCGATTCATACCTTTTGTACCACAGTTAAAAGACTAAAAAGAAAAAGAAATGTCTCTGGACCCCATTAACAGGCTGCTGTCTTCCATCAGTTTGGCAGCAGCCTGTAAGTTTAAGCTCTCAGTGGCCTCTTCAATCCTCTCAGTGTCACGACTGAGCGCATTGTCAGTCTCAGTGTCCTCTTCAGCCCAGAGCAGCAGGAAGCACAGGGATAAATCCGTGTCTCTGTTCTCACTCAGCTCAGTGTCCAAATGGAGTCTTTTTAGCTGCAGGCTAGTCAAGGCCGACCCCACCCCCACCCACGCCACACACACACACACACACACCACCCTCCAGTCACATCTGAGAGCAGCCTGAGGAAAGGGAGTCAAATTTTAAAACATCTTGACTGACAGGCGAGCAGGGCACCGTCCTCGAGGTGGACCGGGAAGAGCTCCCCTGACAGCTCCAGACTGGATTCATTTCAGACACTCACTGAGTGGTGTGCCATCCTCTCTCTACTTCCTCTCTTTCAAAACAAGAGTTTTTCTTTTGGCTAGAGGAGGACAGAATTAGGGAGGTGCAAAACAACTGACACTTTGAAACCTTTTCTTTGTTTGTGTGTACCTTTGCAGGCTAAATAGAGAACTTTGAAAGTGACAGGGTTTGAGCTGTGAATCATGGCTAGTCTGGTGTGGTTATAAATACAATAGTGTTGAAAAAAATATATAAATATATATTGGTTTTTTATGAGTCCCACTCTTCACTGAAGAATAAACCATTAAAAATGCATAAACCCGGGAGCTAAATAAGACATATGAGTCTACTAGAAATTCAGCAAAGGACTGTATGCAAATGTGAAGATGAAATTTAATGCATATATACCTAAACTGGGATTGGATTATTGCTCCATTACCACGCTATAACTAATAATGCTGTTACACAACAATACGTGCATATTTGCAGTCTTTAAAATGAACCTATTCTTATTTCCACCTTTTTTCTTCTTGGACTCAAAGACAGTAGCTCTGCATAATTCAGAGTTCAAAATAGTTGATCTCATGCTGGACCTTGATGCACCCCTCAATCAACCCACTGTCTTAAGCTGTGTTTTAGCCAACTTTCTTCTGATTGGCTGTTCCTTCCAGATGTTAGGCTCAAACAACAAGCAGGCAGGTCGACTTTGGTCGCAGCCAATCACATACAAGTAAACTGCTCTGACTGCAGTTTACTAAGTTTTTCAGTTTATTACCTGAACTTTCAGATATTTTTAATTTGAACATCCTTCAGTGCAACAGTAAATATATGCCAGAAAACAAATAAAAACATATCAGGTCCACTTCAAATGTCTGGTAATGATACAAAATCTAATTTGACTTGTACCTGCATGTGCTGCTCTTCTGCATGACCTCGGCTCTGTGGAAGCCAGACAGCTTGCAGAATCCGTCATTACTGTAAACTATGGGCCACTCCACGATCTGGGCGTTTCCCAGGAGAAAGCTGGTCTCTGACAGACAGACAGGAAAGACAGAACATCAGCTCCAGACAGCATCAAATATAAATAACAGATAAAAGGCTACAAAGCTTCTTAGCCTCTGAGGAGGACTGGATAAAGATGTGTTAGACTGGCCGTGTCAGTTTTAGTTTTGCTTTTCATGAAGCCAACATGTTGTTCTGTTTGTAGTCTTAGTGGGAAGAGATTAAAGGAGAGTCTCTGGTTTGAGGACCTCAGAATTTCAGAGGATGCATACTTTAATTGATCTTTGAAAACTGATTGTAAAGGTTCATTAAGCTTTGCTTTAAATATACTATATTATTATACTAGTAATGAACCTTTTGTTTAGCCAAACCACAAAAAAGTGATTCGACTTTAAACCGATTTGTTAGAGCTCTTGTTGCAAAGCTATTAATCAATAAAGCTAAAAGCAGGTTTAGAGGGTGTTTTACACTAAAAAGACTAACTCTGAAACAACTTCTCACAGCGGAGGGGACATGCTGCACTGGTAACATGAGGAGGAACGATTACAGCAAGCAAGAACTCTGTGAGCCAGCATGCAGTAAGACAGACTTCAAAAACTCTGAACTTAAAAGCTGCAGCCGTATGTGTGCCCTATGGAATAAGGAACTGAGTAAGGCTTACTTCAAGACAGTCAGCCTGAATCAAATCAACACTGGTTAGGCTACTCAATGACCTTAATGTGCTTCTGGTGCCTGAGCAAAATGTTTTGGGTCATTGCCATGCTGGAAGCTCCATGATCCATCTTCAGTGTCTCGTCCATGATTTTAAGGGGTAAATTGACTGATTCTTATATAGTGCTTTTCTACTCCCCCTGAGCACTCAAAGCTATAACATGCACATTCACCCAATCACACCCATTCACACAAGCACATCCTTCAATGTTTACTATCTAATATTCACGCTCATTCATACTCCGATGGATGTATCGAAGAGAACTTGGGGTTAGTATCTTGCCCGAGGATGCTTGGCATGCCCGGGATCGGCAGGGATCGAAGCACTAACCTTCCGATCAGTAGATGATCTGCTCTACCTCCCGAGCTACAGCCACTCCTTAATACTGTGAAGTCATCCTGTACCCTTAACAGAAAAACAACCCTAAAGCATAATGTTTCCACCTCCATGCTTGACTGTGAGGATGATGTTCTTTGGGTCATCCTCAGCATTTCTCTTCCTCCAAACATGGCGAGTCGAGCTTAATTTTGGTTCTTCTTTGACCACGACACTTTCTCCTAAGCCTTCTCCAACTCATTTAGATGTTTACTGTCAAACCTAAGATGGGGCTGCAAAATTTGAGTCCATTATAATGTAGTGTGTTACCAGTGCAGTTCTTGGTTACTGTGGTTGTCTTCAGATCGTTAACAAGCTCCTCTTGTGTAGCTTTGGGCTGATCCACCACCTGTTTTATGAGCCCCCTCAACCCTTGAGACTTGATGGAGCTGGATGGAGATGCACAGAGCTCCAGACTGAAGGCGACTGAAGTTCATTTCCTCTGTTTCCAAATAACTGAACCAAAAGTTGTCACCTTCTCACCAAGCTTCCTGTTTGCCTTTTGATGGTTTTGTAGGGATCAAATACTTATTTCTCTTAAACACTGTAACATTGTATTATAAATAATTCCCTGCCTGTACAATGGCTAACACTGAGCAGTGCTGATTTTCTAACACTGGAATATTTCTAACATTTTGAGTTATTTTCCAGTGTTAGAAAATCAGCACTGCTCAGTGTTAGTCTTTGTTAATCTTCAAAACTGACTAGGTTACTTTTAAACATATAACACTGTCAAAAGTGTTAATTTAACACTCAACAGTGTTGTATTTAACACTCAGAGGTGTGGACCCATATAGACACTCTCTAGTGTTAATTTAACACTGGAGATTTTGCTGTGTACAGTGTACCATGTAGGGCTTGCGCCATATCATACCGTTCACGGTAATACCGGTATAATGTTAGGATATAATATATATAAATATAAAGATATAATGTTACTGACCTCGAACTGATTTTATGTGGTACACGGCGCTCAAAAATCTGTCAAAAAATGTTTTACTACGAAGCTACGAACCTGCACCGCTTGATGGATTGTCGGAGCATTACGGCTATTGTAGGCAGGAGCCTCGCGGAGTGATACGTACTGTGCTTCAACATAATATTACCCTATTGTGTGTGTATAATCTAGGTTTTGTGGAAATTATACATGGCTGAAGATATGTCGGCCAATTTCCACTGGACATGCCTTTTAGTTAAACTTTCAGCAAGGAATTTGCATTTGCACTGTTAAATTTTTATATAACTTTAATGCACATAAAAAACAGCTGCTTGTTTAAGTGAAAATATATTGATGGGTTGTGGATGTGGAGTTGTAAAGTATTTTGTCTCGCGTCATTTATATCGTCAGTTATATCGTTATCGTAAATTTTAAAATATTATATCGTGATAAATATTTTTGGCCATATTGCCCTGCCCTAATACCATGTATAGTATGCTATATATTTTGTTAGTGTTTATTACTGTTTTCATTTTATTCATTGTTTAGCTTATCAGATAGAAAAACACATCTGCATCATGAATATTTGGTCGAACTTTATGGATACAAAAATCACCTGAACCTGATTCTTCAAGTCAGTTTTACTTATAAGGACAAAATAAATAATGGACATGACCTTATGAACAAGAATGAACACAAATTCCCCCAGACATGCAATCTATAAGAATGAGTGAGAAAATCATAAACCTCCCCAACCCTCTTGTTCAACCTGAATGAGTTACCCAGCAGCTACAGTCTGGCAAAAATGAGACTGCAGAAACATCAGGGCAGAGGAAAAATACCACCAGCAGCTTCTTGCCCTTTCTCCTTTCCCTTTTTAACCACACAGACATTAATAATTCATTTGATATATTCTGCATGGTGATAGCTTGGTCACTGAGGAGAACAATGCAGAAGGTTTTGACTGTTTAACAATTAGCTGTACAAATCTCATGCACATCATAATGCTGCTAAAGTTTAACAGATGTGAGCAGTCCCAATGACATATTCAATTTTTTGTACATAAATTATCTGGAGTATATTAAAACACACACACATTGGGTTTCAGGATTAGCGAGGTTCAGTTTTTTACTCTTAATGTATTTGAGGTGTAGCGCCTGTGCTCCAATGACCAGTAAAAAAGGCTACACTTGTGAAAAGACTAAGTCCTGCATTTCAATACAATCAAAGCTAAAAATGATAAATGACTCTTTATCAGGAGCAACTATGACTAAAGAAATATGGAGGACGGGTATTGTTTGTGTACAACAATGAAATAAAACAAAACACATTATTCCTTTACTTGAAATTAAAACAGCCCATGAGAAAGATTTACTTACTTGATGGCTCTGGCCCCACTGTGCCTTTGATTCCCTCCTTGTGCCTAACCCAACAAATTATCACTGCTCATGAGTTATGCATCAACCTATCACACTAAACACAGCCCAATCAGCAGCACTGCAGGGTAGGCCAAAACTTTGTTTAATTCCTTAGAGTCTTTTCAAAGTAAAAGCCATCTAGTGCATCAACTTTTACCATCTTGTTTTTGGAAAAGCTGGAAACAGCCATGACTGCTCTTCATGCTATGAAATACCCAGATATTGCTGAACCATTTAATAATATATATATAACTGATAGCCAAACTCAGAGAAATAACACCCTAATCATAATGGGCCAAGATGATCTTTTAAGGGTTGTTTTTTTTTTTGGCATGTTTGCATGGGCAGCACGGTGGCACGGTGGTTAGCACTGTTGCCTCACAGCAAGAAGGTCCTGAGTTCAATTCCAACACCAGGCCGGGGTCTTTCTGTGTGGAGTTTGCATGTTCTCCCCGTGTTTGCGTGGGTTCTCTCCGGGTACTCCGGCTTCCTCCCACCGTCCAAAGACATGCAGCTTGTGGGGATAGGTTAATTGGATAATCCAAATTGCCACTAGGTGTGAATGTGAGTGTGAATGGTTGTCTGTCCCTATGTGTTAGCCCTGCGACAGACTGGCGACCTGTCCAGGGTGTACCCCGCCTTTCGCCCTATGACAGCTGGGATAGGCTCCAGCGCCCCCCGCGACCCTGAAAAAGGATAAGCGGAAGCGGATGGATGTTTGCATTTATTAAATAGTAAAGCAGTGAAAATGGACAGAAAAGGGAGAGAGAGAAGAGGGAAGACATGCTACAAAGGTCCATGGGTTACTTGAAGCCAGGCTGCTGCACTCTGGCCACGAGGTTGTCTGCTCACCCGCTGAGCTAAAGAGGCAGCTGAGCTTTTAAAGTAAATAACCTTTTCATTGTTAAGCCGTGCACAACACATCTCCCAAACTCTCCTGTCGCTGTCTGTTTTATACACCTAAACATCCTCAAGCTGACAGTCAGCTGCTGCATAAGGAAATCCCAAAAGACTTCAGCTAAATCTATCCGATCTCTCCGATGTTTGCATCTCCTCGAAATCACAACAAAACACACGAGCAAGAAAATAGTAACAACTGTTTCATTTTCAAGGCTCTTTCCATTAAAAATTAGGTGATTACAGCAAATAACAATATCATAATGTTAACAAAGTAAATAAAGGTTCACTGTAATAGTAACTAATTATATAAAGTATATTTAAGGGCTGCATGGTGGTGCAGTGATTAACACTGTTGCCTCACAGCATACACCTCCTTTTCCACCATCAGGCCGGTCTTTCTGTGTGGAGCATGTTCAACCCGTGTTTGCGTTCTCTCCAGGTACTCCAGCTTCCTCCCACAGCCCAGAGACATGCAGTTAGTGGGGTTAGATTAAATGATGTTTCTAGGTGCCCGAATGGTTGTCTCTATGTGAGGCTAACGGTCTCTTGCCTCTCACCCTAAGACAGCGCTCCCATACCCCCGGGCCACAGACCTGTACTGGTCCGTGAGTTGTTTGGTACCTGGCCGCGAGAGATAAGGCTCGGGTGTGAAATTTATGGTTTTCAGGGTTTTTATCATTAACTCT